AAATAAGTTTTCCACTGTAGAGACCAGATATAAAATAAGAACCCATTTGTCCAGTATGTACACAATATATAAAGAACAGCAAAGTTAAACGGCATGTACATATCGTACAGGGCAATGGATAAGCTGAAATGTTCTAGTATGTACTACCAAAGCAAAACACCCTTTGCAACTTCTTCCCTCCTACCTCCCTCAACCCAACAAACAAGTAGAGAGTTTGTTCACAGAGGTGATTTAACAATTCCACTTCCAAAGATAGTTATTTCCCATTCATTTTTAAAAGCTATTTACAAAAAGTATTATTCTACTAGTTCCACTTTTAAATATACCAAGCACTTGTAAGTATACAGAAAGAGTAGATATTTCATATAAGAACTATCCAATATGCACACAGCATTGTTGAATAAAATCGCGCACACGTAACGATGATTAGAATCTCAGGTGCATTCTAAATATGACCATTTGGGCCTTGAACCATTCCCTCCTTACTTCCTTCCTTCTGCCTTCAATGCAGTTGGTAAGTATAGACATGTATAATGCTTAGAGATGTTTGAACAAATTCATCCTATGATGGTTTTTTTAAAATGGTTTATCAACTGTTATTTCACATCTTCCGTTTAATAGAAAAGGCCACCCAAAAGTATCATAAATGAATTTTTATAAGTAATAAATAATTACAGAGACTAAACCTCAAAACTTAGACCAAGGCTAACTGCTGATTTCTACCCTCTGTTTTCAGGCTCAAGAATCCTAGAACTAATTCTAAATTATAAAATTGGAGTCCGTCCCCAGCCAGAGTAGCAGACTTAATGTACCATTAATCTGTTCTGCTCTCAGCCGCTCATTGAAACAGTCACAGTCATTCGATTTTTAAGGAAAAGACAGTACTGCAAAAGTACAATCCAGAGGTCTTTTCATAAAAACCATCCTGTGTGCTCCATCTGCATGTGCAATCTGCTTGTGTATTTTCAGCCAGCTTGCACGGGCAGATTAATGCGTACAATTAGAAAGCAACCTCACAGGCATTCGATAAACTGCCTTCATTATTACACTCAGGAGAGTCCCTTTGGATGTCAATAAAAGCCTAGTTTTCTGCCTGTTAGCCAAATAATTGACAACACTAAAAATAATCAGAAGCAAATGAATGAAGTCAGGAACAAGGTGTTAAGAAAGAGCACATAAAGATTCTCATGGTGGTGCCCCAGGTTGCTATCATGAGCTTTTTCTCCTGCAACTTGGATTTACAGTCTGTTCAAGTCCATGGTTGCCCTTCTCTACAAAAAAAAAAAAAAAAAAAAAAAAAATCATTCCTGGTCTGCTGTGAGTATCAGACATTGCAGCACAGTGAAACTAGCCAAGTATTGACTGGCTTGAAAGAATTTCTTATGTATGTTTCTATTTTGTGTTCCTTTGTTTGACAGTTTCAGGAGAATCTAATATGGGAGGTGGGGTAGGCAGTCTGGTTGGTCTGGCAAAACCTCTGTGCTGTTAAACATCCAAAGGGCTGGCCAGGTGCGGTGACTCAAGCCTGTAATCCCAGGACTTTGGGAGGCCAAGGCAGGTGGATCATCTGATGTCAGTTTGAGACCTCAGGAGTTTCAGACCAGGCCAATGTGGTAAAACCCCATCTCTACTAAAAATACAAAAATTAGCCATGTTGGGGGCAGGCACCTGTAATCCCAGCTACTCAGGAAGCTGGGGCAGGAGAATCACTTGAACCCAGGAGGCAGAGGTTGCCATGAGCCAAATCATGCCATTGCACTCCAGCCTAGGCAACAGAGTGAGACTCAATCTCAAAAAAAAAAAAAAAAAAAAAAAAATCCAAAGAGCTTTCCTAGACATTTTTCGCACCATAAACTGATTCTAAGAAGATATGATAAGGACTTGCCATATAGAGGATCCATCTTTTCCAAATCTCTTTTATATTTCTAACTAAATAATGGCTGCTCATTTCATGAGCTATTGGTCTTTTAATTTCAAAAGTAATTCAAAACATAATACTCTTTCAAAAAAGAACCTCACACATATACCTCTTCTCGTGTTTCTCGATAGGCTTTAAAAATCAATTTGAGATACTTCTCATTTTTAGCCAACCTCCCTTTTTCCTGGTTAACCTGGGACTTTTACAATAAGCAGAAGAAAGAGCAAGAGTGAAATGTGCATGTAATTGAATTCAGCTCCACTGATAGCAGGCTGCGTGGCTGAGGGCAAACTAAAAAAGGGTGACTGATCTTCTGTATTTAGTAAAACACAAACTCAAGAAGCTGGAACTACAAAAGAAAGGAGGTTGGGTGTACAACTTCCAATATCTATTAAAACTTCAAGAGTCTCTTACCCTTTACTTTGCCATATTTAGAACTCTCCAGAGAAGGAACCCATTCAACTATCCAGTCCTGTACCCCAGGCCCCTCACTGCTAAGTAGGTCTTCCCTCATCCCATGTAAAACTAGTATGCCATAGGACATACTAGTTTCACAGGACAATGACATTCATTCTCATTTGTGACTCTAAGCTACTAAAGCCCCCAGCCTAGCCCCTAATTGCTCTCAACTCTTCAGGCTGAGCCTAAAAATAAATTCTCATTCACTCCCTACCCATGAAAGGGGAGACAATGATACATTCACATCCTTCATCTAGTGCCTCCCTCCCACCATATTTCTCTGCAAGACAGACAGTTTCTCCTGGTGCTTTGCTCCTTAGCTTCCCACCAGATCCTCACTCAGATGCCTGCCTTAGAGAGTGGGGAGAGACAGGCTACGGATTCTGTGATGAAAATGAGAGTGATGCTCCTTTTAGCTAAGGAGGATGACATTACCTATCAACACTTCCATCCTACCCCAGCCCATCTCCCATCTATTTTCTGGCCTGGGTAGCAGAGGCACAGTACCTAACTTGCTGAGGAGCAAAGCAGAGGGTTGAGAAATGTCTCTTCCATTCCTGCCTCTGAATCTTAAAGCAAGAAGGAGCCGTTTATGATAGAGGCAAGATCATTTTAATGGCATAAGAAATCAGAGAATATTGTGCTTAGAGGAGGAATATGTTGGAGAGTGTCACAAATATGCTCACCCCAATATCTGAGTGATCTTAAATTCTACAAACAAGGGACAATAATGAAGCAAGAGAACACAAGGCAGTCAATGAATATTTCATATGAAAGTGGAGGGCCCATTACTGGTTCTGGTGGGACCAGAAATCTGTGTTCAGCCTCCATAAAATAAAAGTTGTATGATCCTATTCAATAAGGGCCTCTGTAAGAGGGATCATTTCAAGTGCCTATAATGGGCATTTTTATGTCATTTGCATATTTTATTTAATTCTTGCAAATGGCATATGAGATAGATATTATCTCTATTTAAGAAAAAAAACACTGACATTCAAAGAGTTTTAGCGGGAGCTAAGACTTTGAACCCAGATCTGCTTGGTTCTATTTCTACCACATTTAGAATTAATGTAGAACCAGAAATAAAATTCTTTGGTTTTGTTTTTTAATCAGTGTGCAGATAACTGGGCTACTAAGAGTTAGGACGTGAACCTATCCTTAAAGCCTACATAACAAAGTAGAGTACATTATAAAGCATGTAATAGGTGCCCTTCATCTATTAGCTGCTGTTGTTCACAAATCATACTGCAAATCACCTTGATGTATGACCACCAGTTGAGAGTTTTGCCAATAACTACTAAATGATTTCTTAATTCTTGTCTAGAAAAAAATACAAGTACATAGTAGTCCTCAGTCCATTAGATAAATCCCTGGTCAGTTTAGATTCTGCTTAGGCACTTCAGTGCATATACTCCAATCCTTATATTGTTATCTTGGAAGTCAACATAAGCAGACGTACCTTGGATCACCAAAGGATCAAGTCTTCCAAGTTATTTATAATGGGGAATTTCTCAAATGCAGTGTTATTGCTGATCAATTGACTACTAAAGGATACTTTGGTGAGTAGACATGTCGCCCACCTTAGATTCTCACTTACATGGTGACAGAGTTCTATTACATAATTAATATAACAGCCAATGATCCAATACCAGATGTTTTTACAAGTTACCATCACCTGAATTTAAAACCTGTATGAACAATCTGCCTATAAAGGTACAAAGTTCTGAAAACATAAACTTACTATTGCTGATGCTCTCTAAATGCTTCTCTTCTACGGTTTTCTTCAAGCCTTTTTTTCTCCTCCAGTTTGTTGCTCTAAAATAGCAAATATCAAAACAAAACTTATTAAAGATGCTTTAAGCAGAGTCATGATGCTAAAATTACCCAAGGCCCAAATCCCAAGGTTCAAGTGGCTTTGATAGTCTAATACAGTATCCTGCTAGAGGCCCCAAGATGGTATGCCCTGTCAGACCTATGGGCACTGCACTGCCAGCCAGGAGCTCCAAGTTCTTTCCATAGCTCCCCTCTCCCGACTTGATTGGTATAATCACAAAACCGGTATTTCCCATTTTTATACTTTAGTTCAAACCATAGCAACATTTATTTTTTAAGCAGTGCTTTCAAAATGTTTTCATGAAAACATGAAATTTCCATACCAAGCATGTTAAATTAAAATTATAATAATTGGTTAAATAGCTCATGCAAAATTTATATATACACCCAAATTCTACTAAAGTATTCGGGAAGAGATTTTCAATAAGACAACCCAACTCCCTTCTGACTTAGAATCAGATACTTAAAGCCATTGAGGGACTGAACAGCACATGTCATTTAAAAAAACCCATCCACTTGAATAGAAAATAGTTCCTTTTTTTAATTAGCTGTTTGGAGAGCCTAGAGATAAAGGGCTTCATATTCGATATTACCGTCACCATGGCACTGGCAAATTTTAATCCAATTTAAATAACCCAGGAACATTTGCTTTTTGCTCACTGTGACACACTGTCATTTTTTAACTTGCTATGACCTATGAAAAACAAGTAAAATTCCTAGACAACAAAATTTGATGGGGAGTTGAAACACATTCTACAACCCAGGAGGATCATGAAGTTTTAAATGACTCCAAGAGAGACAGTAAGCAGCTGGGTTTGCTTTAATAAAAAATTGAATTTGCCCAGAAGAGGACCTGTGAAAGGGGAATAATGGAAATCATCACTTTCAAGCCCAAATATAAGTCTGGTTCTATCAAACAAAGGAAAACACTGCTTGTATTGTTCATTTCCATGAAAGTCTTCATTCACTCAAAACTAATTACTAGTCCTATTTTGAAAGGCAAAATGAATGATGATTTCGGTTTCAGAAAAAAACTAAATGAAATTTCCTACAAAGAGAATCAATTATACGGCAAGCAACTGGATTATTAATGAAACACAGAATTCTAGGAGGCAAACTAATGGAAAACTATAAAACCAAATAAACATACTTCTCGTCTAGGAAAAATTCCTGACTCAAGAGTGCAAAAGCATTCCATTGTTAAGAGTTCCCTGCCTTCCAGGGTAGGGACTGGGGGTTAGCGGTGGATCTAAAAGGGTAAAACACAGCAAGCAAGCAGTATTCAGAATGCTACCCAGAGAACAGTGAGAAAGCCACAAAAGCAGCTAGAGACAAAAGGCTGGGTTCCCTTAGCGAGGTCAGAAATTGAGACCATTGGTTTTAACCTTTTCACTAATAGATTCCAACTCACAAACAGTCACACAGTAGCTAAATTTTATCCAACAAAAGTCTGTTTATGGCCGGGTGCAGTAACTCACACCTGTAATACAAGCACTTTGGGAGGCCAAGGTGGGTGGATCACCCAAAGTCAGGCGTTCAAGACCAGCCTGGCCAATATGGTGAAACCTTGTCTCTACTAAAAATACAAAAATTAGGTGAGCATGGTGGCTGGTACCTGTAATCCCAGCTACTAGGGAGGTTGAGGCAACAGAATCATTTGAACCCAGGAAGCAGAGGTTACAGTGAGCCAAGATTGTGCCATTGCACCTCCAGCTTGGGCAACAAGAATGAAACTCCATCTTAAAAAAAAAAAAAAAAGTCCGTTTATGCCTCAGCAGAAGTTGATAATTTATGGAGAAGTATTTTTGGGGGAAAAAGTAGTAGTAGTAGCAGCAGTAGTATTTCTGGAGTCGTTGAAAAATTGTATTCAGTCCCTACTCATATCAAATGCCTTTTACATGCTTGGTACTATGTTAGATGCTGGGAATACAGCTATGAACATAGCAGTGCCCATTCTAGAAAATTTCAGAGCCTAGTTGGGAACACAGACAAGAAAGCAATGATGGCAGTATGCTAAATACGTTAGGAGAGAGCAGCAGTTTGCAAATAACATAGTAAGAATACAGAGAAAGCACTTACATGGATTGTCAGAAAATGCTCTCAAAAGTTCCCCAGCCACTCAGTGCCTACTAAGTGTTAGACTCTCTCCTGGGCACGAGAGCCAAGAATTTGAATAACACCGGGAATGTGGTTTCTAACTTCGGGTAGGCTACATGTTACAAGGATGCTAGAGTGCTTCCTTCTATGGAGAGTGGACCCACAGCTTTCTTCATATTTTTCAAAGGGCTGGTGACCAAATAAAAGGATAAATACCGTGGATCTGATCAGAGATAGAAATTCTATATCTAAACCAATCTTAAGCAAGAGTGTTTCAGGAGAAGGAGAAGGTAGGAGCAGGGTTACTACACCGTATTATATGGGTTGTTCAGCCCAGAGGGTCCCAGCAGGTCGGAGGAGGGTCAGAAAAGAAAAATAGAGCCAGTGTTCAGCTCACCAAGACTTGCACTGCAGTATGTGGCTGCTTTAGCCCAGAGGAAGTGTCTTTTTCTGTGTCTCACAAAGGCACTATCTATCACCAATCTGAGCACCCATAGATTTGACTGCCTGGATGAAGAATTGGACTCTAATTTGCACAAAGGCAACCATGGGCTGGAGTAACCCTGGACAGGAAAGGGGGCATTCCCAGAACTTACAACTTTCTTTTCTTGTGATGGAGTTTTGCTCTTGTTGCCCAGGCTAGACTGCAATGGTGCCATCTTGGCTCACTGCAACCTCTGCCTCCCAGGTTCCAGCGATTCTCCTGCCTCAGCCTCCCGAGTAGCTGGGATTACAGGCATGCGCCACCACACCCAGCTAATTTTGTATTTTTAGTAGAGATGGGGTTTCTCCATGTTGGTAGGCTGGTCTCAAACTCCCGACCCCAGGTGATCCACCAGCCTCGGCCTCCCAAAGTGCTGGGATTACAGGCATGAGCCACCGTGCCTGGCCTACAACATTTTTAATGTACAAAGGCACAAGAGAATATGTCAGTGCAGGGAAACCCAAGAAGCTCATGGATAAATTGAACAGTGTTTTTAGAGAGATGAGTAGAAGATAAGACTGAGAAGAAAGAAGGGATAATTATATAGGAATGTATGTGCCCAGTAAAGGAATTTGGACACCATGACACGCAGTGGTAAGCCATTATTTTATTTTAAGCAGGAAAGGAAGCGGCTCACTCTTATAGCAACATGGAGGTTAAACTGCAGCAAGGGCCACAAATACAAGAGAACCCCGGAGGTGATTCTCACAGTAATCTAGTAATCTCACAGTAATCACAGTAATCTAGGCCATAAATTATGACTCCTAAATTAAGTCAGCAGGTATAGGGGAGAGGGAAGAAATGACAGTCTTGAGAAAAACTTAAGGGACAGAAATAATAGAAAGTCTGATGACACAGATATGAGATGAGTACAAAGGGAGGAAGAGTCTAAGATTACTATCATTTAAGAGCATTAGAATGAACATGAGTTCAATTTTGAATTTATTGGATTTGAGGTAAACTTGTAGAATATTTAGGGAGAAATATCAAGCATGCAGTAAAATATATGGTTCTGGAATTTAGAAATATGGTCTGGCCTAAAGATACGAACTGCAGAAATCAGCCCAAACAATAACTAGATCCTTCAATGCAGAAGTTTTCACCTAAGGAGAGGGGGCCTAGGCCCAGAAGTATTAGAGGAGACCATGGGATGGGATCTGGTGAGCATCAATAGTGGAAAAACAAGTCAAAGACAAGGATCCCAGAGAAGTTCAGAAGGGCGGAATTTGAAGGACAGAGTATGTAATAGTTAATTTTTAATTTTAATTTTATCTATAGATTTATTTGATATAGGATCTGCTCTGTGCAGTGTAGTGGTGCCATCTCGGCTCACTGTAACCTCCACCTCCCAGGTTCAAGTGATTCTCATGCCTCAGCCTCCTGAGTAGCTGGGATTACAGGTGCATACCACCACACCTGGCTAATATTTGTGTTTTTGTAGAGATGGGCTCACCGTGTTTCTCAGGCTGGCCTTGAACTCCTCGGCTCAAGCAGTTGACCCATCTTGGCCTCCCAAAGTGCTGAGATTATAGGCATGAGCTAGCACACCCAACCTTAACATTTAATTTTACACAGAGTAAAATAAGTGAGGAATTTAAAAACCTTTACCAGACTATCTTCTTTCTTTTTAAGAGATGGGGACTCACCATGTTACCCAAGCTGGTCCCAAAGTCCTGGTCTCAAGCAATCCTTCCTTCTTGGCCTCCCAGTGTCCTGGGATTACAGGGATGAACCACTCTGCCCAGTTTCCATTAAGAACACCATTGGTAGGCCAGGTGAGGTGGCTGATGCCTGTAATCCCAGCATTCTGGGAGGCCGAGGTGGGTGGGTCACTTGAGGTCAGGAGTTCAAGACCAGCCTGGCCAACATGGCGAAACTCTGTCTCTACTAAAAATAACAAAAATTAGCTGGGCTTGGTGGCAGGTGCCTGTAATCCCAATGACTCAGGAGGTTGAGGCAGGAGAATCTCTTGATCCCAGGAGAAGGAGGTTGCAGTGAGCCCAGATCATGACATTGCACTCCAGCCTGGGCAACAGGAGCAAAACTCCATCTAAAAAAAAAAAAAAAAAAAAGAACACCACTGATGATCTTAGGTAGATTAGAACCAGAGAAGTATTAGAAAGAAAAGCCAAACTTAGTCCATCAACAAATGAGGAATCAGAGAAAGAAAGGAATCAGAGAAGGTAAATTCTTAAGCTAGGTGAGCCATGCATCCCCTGGGGAACATTTTTTAAAAATAGAGATTCTTTAGTTCTGATGATTGTCAGAGAGTCAGTCTGTGGACTGACATTTGGGAACCAAATGTGGTAGAGGAGTCTTTCAAGAAGTTTGAACCATGATGCTTGGGATAGAGGAGTTGAAAGCAGACCACCATACAGAAAATTTGTTTTTAAGATGAGAT